GCGGTCGTCTCTGTGCTCAGCGGCTGCTGCTTCACGTCTCTCTGCGTGCACCGAGGAAGGGGGTTAACTTCGGCTTATTCTCCGCAGGTACGTCCCTTCTCAGGCTGATATAGCAGTCTTTGAAGCAATCGCTGCCCCACCTCCTGCAGACTTGTTTCATGCTCTTCGGTGGTACAATCATATTAAGTCGTATGAAAAGCAAAAGGCAAGGTATGGTTAAACTGCAAAGCTGGAATGTATGTGCGAACTGGCCTACAAAGTGTTGCGTTTGATTTTTCGAGTTTGAACAAAACTGTTTTTCACTGGTACCACGTGGCTTTTTGTGTTGCCATTGGAACAGGAATGGTTCTAGAGGCAGAGCAGACTTCTGTCAGTACATCACGCTTCTCACGTAGAATTCAGGCAAGCTGATTCTGTCTCTGTTCATTTGCAAAGATTTCTGCTAAAGCTTATAAGAAAGGCTTGAGTTTTGTTGCTGCCATTTACACAGACAACTATGCTGAAAGCTGGAAATTACTTACTGGTAATCGACCCTATAAAGGCAACACCAAAATGGATTAGAAAGCGTTACGGTATGTAGGCGATAAATAAGGAAAGTGGTTCGTTCAAGTTTTTAGTCCTAGAAGATAAAGCAAAATCAATGATTTACAATGCAGAAGCACATATAAAGAAGGGGAAATATGAAAGCAAATGTTATCTTTTTTCTTTTTTAGTGATTTTAGTGTTCATGAAAGGTGCTGTATTGACATCCATGGAGACTGCAGGCCTCTCTAAAAAGGTACAGCATAGGTAGTGTCAGTATTGCTACACTGCCTCCTCTGTGTGCCTCAGTCCTGTTTGGAGGGAACCCTTGTAAAGTTGGGTGGCTCAGTCACCCATCTGTTTCCAAAGCTCTTACAATGCTAAAGGGGACTGAGGTGATAAAGTTGCTTCACAAAGTCCACTCTGGAAACTACTTGTAGTTCCTGAAAACTAAAGCTAGTTTTATGACTCCTGTAATGGCAGTTCACAGTAACAATGGAACTACAAGCGTGTTCTAAGACTACAGAACTATGTGAGCTATAGAAGATTTAATTCAGATGCCCTGCTCCCTCATGTGCTGTTGAGAGCTAGCTTTCGGAGTGCAGCATTCACTGAAACTTACAAAGTCACAGGCTCAGTCACCTTGCAACAATGTATTTTCTGTCACTACTCCTTTTTAAATAAACAAACAATATTTTTCTGGAAGCATGAACAAGAAGTTGATAACTCCTCCTACACAGAACATAATGCAGATAAATGATTCCAATAAGCAAGCTTTTTCTATCCATATACTTAGGTGGAGCAGCAGTGTTGGGCAGGATCATGTCAGCCTAGATGAACAGTCCTTGAATATGGGATTTGCTGTAGTCTCAACTAGTATGTCAGGAGCAGTGAGGATTGTCTTTGGGAAGGTTCTGTTTTCAAGTAGCAGAATTAGATACTTATTTTTTTAGCACAGTGTTTTGTACTATGAATGCACTTGTAGGTTCATTGACAAATTGGCAGTATTTTTATCGACATTTGAGTAGGTTCCTAATATTTGCTGTTTTCTTTCAGCTTGCCAGGAGTAAAGAAGGCTTTGGGGAAATACGGTCCTGCTGATGTTGAGGACACAACAGGTGCAGCCACAGATAGCAAAGATGATGATGACATTGATCTTTTTGGATCTGATGATGAGGAGGTACCTGTGAACTTTTTGCATTATATTTGGGTTTTTTTAGAAATACCCCAGTATGCAGATTTTTGCCTTAACTAGTTTAAGGCACTTGAGTTTGTGACCTTGATACCAGGTCCTACTTGGAATTCTCAAATTCAGCTGTCTTCGCAGAAGAGAACAGTTGGAAGGTAAAAACTCAAGAGTTAGAAAGGAATGTGTTGCAATGGGGTGGACTGTCTACTTTAACTCTGGCTGGTTACATGATGAATAAAACAAAAAATCACCATCTTTCGGCTGACAGTTGTGATGATTTGTTTTTGCCTGAGTAGATGCCAGTCAATTTGGTAATGCTTTAAAGAGGCAGGGCGTTGGTGCTCTTCCTTAACTTTACATTTCTCTTCCAGGAAAGTGAAGAAGCAAAGAAACTGAGGGAAGAACGTCTGGCCCAATATGAATCAAAGAAGTCCAAAAGTATGTCTACCAAATTAATCTTTTATGCTTGGGTTAATTTTCATGCATTTGAACAGGATGGCTAGAAACACTAATTAACTGTAATGGATAAACTTGACTGGAAGGAGAATGGGAGTAATTAGCTGCCCTTGAATTGCCTGTGAACTTAGTCTTTCCCATAACAAATGGGAACCTTAACATAGTTTTTATCCTGCTTTAATACACTCGTTTGTCTTGCCCAGAGGCTGAGCTTTCTATATAACCAGAGAGAACCCCAGGATTTTCTCTCAAAGTTTAAAGAGGCTGCAATATGCAAGTCCCTCCACAGCTACTGGTCTGGAACTGTTCAGAATTGTAGCAGTTGCAGTATTCCCTCTGTGGAAAATAAACTGTTACACGGCATTAAGCTCCTTCTCAGATCCTCTGAAAAGGACTTCCTATGTAACAAACAATGTTAGCTTCTTAATCTGTGTTTTCTTAGGAGACTGTTTCTCAAGAACATGTGTATCAACATCGTGAACATTGGGATACGCATAGCGTAAATACTTTTGAAATGTGTATTGGTACTGCTATGTGAGGAGGAAAAGTTATTCTTGTAAAGCTAGTTTGCAAGTATATATATTCGTGAGGTTTTGAAAATTTCCTCGCTTTTAATGGTGATTTTCTTCCCCCAGAACCAGCTGTTGTTGCCAAATCATCAATCTTGCTTGATGTGAAACCTTGGGATGATGAGACAGACATGGCCAAACTAGAGGAGTGCGTTCGAAGCATTCAGGCAGATGGCTTGGTCTGGGGATCTTGTAAGTAGGAGAAAATTTCAAAGCAGGGAGAGGGGAGAGAGTGCGGCCTCTTAAGAGGGTGTATGAATAGGTAGACTTGTGTTCATTGTTTGCTGATCTCTGAAAATGTGGGTAGCTAAAACAGTGCAGGAATTGCAACACTACAGTGCTTCAGTATCTTGCAATAGTCAGAAAGGTGTATTAGTGCAGCGGCCAGGTTAAGATGCAAATACAGGTTTGAAAAGCTTTAAAACCTTGGCTCCGCTATCCTGCGTCTCCCTGTACAGTTCCTGATGCAGCAAGCAAAACACCCGTACACCCACATCACTCGTCTGGGGGGGCAGGGTGGGACCCACAAAAACAAACTTTTTGACCACCTTGTAACGAATGCTTTTGTTGTTGATTAGGCAGTCTATAATGTGGAACAGATTATGGCTTTTATGTATTCTTGCAGACTACTTTGGTCAGTACAAGCTCAGATTTGCATTTTTAAGGGATTCTGCCAGTCAAGGAGTACTAAATGCTTTTTTCTTATCTCTTTTTTTTGTTTTGTTTTTTTTTCTCCCCCCTCCAGCTAAGCTAGTACCAGTTGGCTATGGTATCAAAAAGCTTCAGATCCAGTGCGTTGTTGAAGACGATAAAGTTGGAACAGATATGCTGGAAGAGAGAATAACAGCTTTTGAAGATTATGTACAATCAATGGATGTAGCTGCTTTCAATAAGATTTAAGTCTTGATATATCTAGAATAAATGTAATTGCAAAAATTGGGCTGTGTCTATAGTTAATTCAAAGTCATGGTGTAATCCAACTCGTACATGTAAAATTTGGTTGATGGGTAAGGTCAAAGCTAAAACTGAATTTCAAGGTTGTTCCAACACCCCACTGTAGTACCCAAGAACTTGAGCAGAGGAAATAGAAAATTTGCATTTACCATCAATCCAGATTTAACATTTACATGGCTTTAAAAATCTGAAATGCTCTTTGCTCCTTTTTTGGAGGAAGTTGCATCTTTGGAAATTTCTGTAATACCTCTGGATGGAGGGGTAGCTTTCAGGGAAAAAGCACAGGACTCGGGCAAAATGCAAATAACTTTTTTTTTTTTTTGCGGTTAAAAAGCTTTGCCATTGGTCAGAGATGAATACAGCTTCTGAAATGACCTACATCAGCTTTATTTTTGTATGTTAAAAATAGTCATTCCCAGGCTGAGAGGTGTGTGCTTGCTTAAAAGGTAATCTCCCACTGGTGACTGGGTGGTGGGTCCGATGTAGCTGCCAGAATTATTATTGTTCCTCTCTAACAAGAATCTCCCTTTTTTCCAACTGGAAAGTCTTCAGCATTTCATCAATGTTTGTATAGAAACACATTTCGCAGGGGTCTGGGGAAAAGTGAAAAAATTTTTTTTTTTTTTTTGCAGTTAAACAGTAGTATAAATTCTTTTGTTTAATAAGGGTGGTGATTAAACAAATATACCGTGGGCTTTTGTTTGAGGGAGTGGAGATGAAGTCAGGGGTTGTGGCCGGGTACGGAGCGAGGGGGGCTGGGTCTGGCCGGCGGCTGCCGCGGCACCTCCTCCTCTCCCCCTGGGGGGACGCGGAGCTGTTTTCCTCCCAGGTGTGAAGACTTCTGCGGTGAGATTACTTCAAATTTCGCATCTTTTTCCGGGGCTTCTGAACGAGTACGGCAAACAAGGGTGCTGCTAAAAGCCCCTGCCTTCGTGTGCCGAGGTCCCGGCGCCTCGCGCTGCCCGAGAGGCGCGGGCAGGGGGCAGCACGCGCCCGCCAGCGCCTGCGGCCTCGCCTGTCCCTGCCGGCCGCGGGGACCTGAAGCATGCTCTGGGCTAAAAGCAACAACAAAAAACCAGGTGTTCAGTTAAAACGCGAAGATCAAGTAGCGTGATTAAGGCCAGTTTGAGCGGCTTACTTGGCTCCAGATTGGTTCCTAGATTGATTTTGACTTTTTTTTAAAGATTGAAGAACCCATCAGAACTGAATTGTTTCCAAAAACTATCCATAGGAATGACACAAATGTGAAAGCTGTCAAAACTGTGAAGCTTCTAGACAAAGTCACGCTTCTAGGCCTCCTGTTGGACTGAGAGAATTTATTGAGACCATGAAACGGAAGCCTTTTATGTGCCACGCTGGTCGCTCTGAGATGAAGATGCTCAGTGCCGAAGCCTGACAGCAGCAGCTAAAATAACTCTTTTGTGTTCTTTTATTCACAGAGCATCTGTGTGCGGTTATCTGGCACAGCAGGTCCTGCTTCTCCTTGTTCAAAGGTCTGCCAACTTCAGATTATGCAAGAGCTCAGTTTTATAATTTGTCTCAGAAAAAAAATCTGCCTGCCAGAGGTTTAAAGCATGACTAAAGAATTGAAAGTAAGTATAATTACAAGCTTCATTCCCACCTTCCATAAACTTAACTCCTAAAGGACTAGCTGCATCCTGTGTGTAATTAATGCACAGTACCCTTTCTGTGGCAATTCTCTAGCTGTCGCTTCTGCTAAATCACGTAGCAAATGCCACATCAGAAAAAAAAAGAAATAAAAATTCTGCCACAAAAATGTAATTTTCATTATTCTTGGCCATCGCTGTTTCTGACCTCCCATTCAGCATGCTGCTTACCTTTAAACTCTTTCCTTGACCTTGAAATTAAAGCTCTAAGTGGATAAAATGGTTTGATTAGACTGTAACTTTGCTAAAATATAGCACTATGAGCCATCCATCTGACCTGCCAGACTGGATTTTTGCGTGTGTGTTTCATTCACGCTCAGCGTGCATGCACAAACTCTTCAGTCGTCAGGATTTCTTTTGTGGTTTTTTTTCCCTGATGTTAGAAGGAAACTTGCTGCACAGGAACAAAACAAAAAAAGCTGGACAGCACAGTCTCCCCAGCTAGTTACAAAATAGATAGGCACGTGGGCAAGAGAATTCCACAGAATCCACATGTATCTACGTTAGGGTTTTTTGTGTAGTATTTAGGTACGTGCTGGTATATTACTGTGTCATCGTGCCTGTGAAAAATCAGCATCCTAGAGTAAACGAGACACTTCTATCCCAGGTGCACCCCCTAACAGAAAGATCAGCAGAAGCTTCTGTAACTGCAATATGTGATATATAGGAATACTGGGAAAACAGTTTCCACAAGAGTATTGGTTACAAACTATTCTATGTAATAACCTTCAGAAGTACAAACTGTTCAGGAAGCGGGTAAAAGTAACCAGAACCTGTCTATTACAAAATGTGTCAATAGTTATTATTCTTGAACGAATGGTTGATCATAGAGCTATTTCCTGTGACGTGTTTTTCCATAGTATCCTTCAGCATGATAAGATAGATCACCTTCGCCTGGCTTTTCTTCCATTGTGGTGGGCTGAATGAGCGTTCCTCAGTCCAAGCAACGTAGAACTGTCAGTATTGCTTTGGACACTCTTTGGAAACAGAAACTTCGAGTGTTATCTGTTTTCTTTAGTTATCTTCCATTACTCTTGCAGAAATGATGTGGAGATCATTCTGTAACTGATCTTGGTGTGAACAAGGTAGCAGTTACATTGCAAAATTGTTAATCTGCTGAATTCCATAGACCAGGGCTGACTTTGGCCTTATTCAATATCTCTGTTGTCTACTTCAAGGGAAGCTTTCTGATAATTTATGCAAGACAGCACGTGTATGTTCCCCCATTTGAAAATCAATCTCTTTACTGTATATAGCAACATGTGTGCTCACATAGCTGACATGCAAGAAGAAAGCTGACATAAACCTTAATTCCTGTAGCAGAAAGGGCCAGGGCTTGCTTTCATCTTCCAAAATCTTTGGGAAGGAGCTGTTCTAAGAATGGACAGTCACTGCATATCGCTGCTGAGAAAAGCAAATGAACACAGTCTTTGGAAACAACAACATTTTATTACTTCACTTGGAGTACAGTCAGGAGAGTAGTACTAATACATCATTCTTAGAAAGATGTCAGGGAACATGTGAATAAAAACTGCAAAATGTTTGATTTGGGCACATTCAGCAGCAGGGTGCCAAAACATGACGATGAGTCACTATGTGCCAGGCAGCAAATGACTCAAAGGAACAGGGCTGGTTACCAACTTTCCAGCCCAAAGTGAAATACATTGCAATTCCACTGAGCCTCCCTGACTCTCACACTCTGAAACCAGAGCCCAAACAAACAGTTACAGATCACAGTCAGACTGTTTCTATTTGTACAGCTACCAATACTGGATGTGCTCATGCATGCATATATATATATATTATACAAAAGCAAATATATTTACATATAAGGCCTCAATTACAGTATAAATGCTACTTACGTGTGTTGGCAGGCCATAGAAACTAGGTAGATTATCTGAAAGGCAGTTTTATTCTATATACTGAGGCCAATAACAAGGAAAAAACGGTTCAAATTTACCAAAAGCTTTATGCTTTTACTTTCAGTGGAGTTTTATCACACATTCAACTTTTTAATTAAGTGGTATTATGTCAGAAATTAGTCCACTCCACTTAGCATATATATTTGCATTGGTGCATGTGTGATTCTACAGCAAGCAACAAGTTGGAACAGAGTACAGCATAACCGGGACTACTTCATCTTACTCATGGGAGTGGACTCCATTTGCCGGATGTACTGTCTTGCCTCTCATTTGGCAAAGAGGTCCAGATTTGGCTACAGACTTGTAACAGAATATTGTTGAATTCACTCTGTCCATTTTTTGAAGATTGGCATTCAGGCAAACAAAATTTTGTATTATTTCTTTACCTTTGTTTGACAGAGCAATAAAGAACAACGGATAGTTGTAAACCTCTTTGAGCCTGAAAGTTTAAACATCATAGAAAAGAACAAGTGTGGCACGGGGCCTTCAATCTCGGCTTCTGTAAGAAACATTTTCACTAATTCTTTGCACATTTCAAATGAGCCCAATACCTATATAAAACATCTGCTCAGTATTTTGCACCCAACTGGTGCTAAAAGCACAAGAACAAGTAACCAGAAAACATAGGATCTCCTGTCTTAGTTTTGAGTAGAAGATAAAGAGCACTGGGAGAAAACAGATTTTATTTCCATATTTTTATTTTTTGGCAAGAGAAGGAAGCGATTCAGTGTTCTCTGTCTTGGGATTCTTTTCCAACTCCACAGTGGAACCACCGATAGCTTCACTTAGCTGGGATGTAGCCAGGTGATTCCTACTTAAGGCAATACTAGACACTCAGGAGACTCATGACCCATTTATGTATGGCCACAACCTCTTGGATGAGAATGCCTCCATCAAGAGTGTTATCAGTGATGGCAAGGGGGAATATTTTTATTATGTGCTCTTTTGATATCAATGAGGTATGGAACCACAACAAAACAACAGGATTACAACATTCCTGATCAAAAACCCAGTTAGAGCAATTCCACTCATGCTGACAACTTGCAGTTCAGGTAGTGCGTGCATTGCAAGTACACCGCATCCAAATGACGTGTCCTTTAAAAGCCCTTCAAGGAAAGCAGCAAGTGCAATTAAGCCAGCTGTTTACGTAAAACTGTATACGCAAAGATGCACATCTGACTGGCAGATGTAAAGTCAAGAACACCTCCAAATCTCCTGTCAGCTGTCTTGGAGAGGGATGGTGACAAGAGCAGTCACTGAGCAGTTTCACAATAGTGCACAGGCGCATGAGTGTCGTCCGAGCTCCACAGCTGCTCGCTGACAGTTCCCGAGCGGCTCACCTCCCACAGTGCCAATTTTAGCACCTCGGAGACTGTTGTCTTGACCTGGGCCT